TTACCTCTCAGCTGCTGCCTTCTTTAGGAAATCGGATTCCCTCTTTGTTTTGCCCTGAAGGTTACCACAAGGGTCTCCCTGCTTATCAATTCACCATAGTTAGTGGAATCAGATAAGATATCATTCGAGCCTAGAGTCTGAAGAATAGGGCTCCTCCCTTCCCTGTTAAAGCACACTCTATTGGATCTGATAGTGCTTCATGTGCTTTTCAGCATCCAGCATCTGTTTCTTAAGCCCCATACACACTATGAGAATATTGGATGAATGATTGCTTTTTTTTTTTTTTTTTTTGCTTTTTTTTTTTAATTTGTTGTTTGAGCTCCACATTCAGAAACTGCTGGTTTTGATGTGTGGGGGATTTGCCTGGAAGTGACTTTTGGGCACTGGGTTCAGCTTAGGTAAAAGTTAAGTATGGAATGCTATTCTACTCCAGAGCTGTTGACATCGCTTCAGTGCTTGCCCTCTCTTTGAAGACTTACTTAGTGAGTAAACTGGTCAGGCTGTGCATCAGGATCTACCTAAGGATCCTGGCAGTTTTGACATGAAAGAGGCTAACATACTGTAGTTTGGCTGAGCATTAATGCCATCTACCTCATGAAGGCTCATCTATTAGAAAAGAACTACATGAAACTGCAGTCTTCGATCTGTTACTGCTGCCTGTCTACAGTGACTTTGGTAACTTCCATTCTTCTACCTTCAATATTTTTAGCTGTCCAGGTTTTGTGAATACCTGAGGTCTTGCCTCTTACCCTCTTGCCTCTTATGTTGCCCAACCACCACATGGTCTGATTCTATACACAGGGTGACATTTGGGTGCAGGAAGTGGAATTTCAGGGCTACAAACTGGAGATTTGATCCCTGCCCCCTCTTTGGTTTGTTGCCTTACACCTTCCTGTGTCACTGCACAGATCAGCAAATCTCCTCTTAGGTCTTCTTGATCAAGGTATCATTATCCCTTTTCCTGTGGCACAACAGATCCAGGGGTTGTACTCCAACGTCTTCATCATTTCCAAGCCCAAAGGGAGCATTCACCTTGTTTTTTTTTTTTTTTATCTCAGAGCTCTGAATGTCTTCAATTGGGAATTCTGTATGAAATCTACCAAATCTGTCATCATCCCCTCTTCATCAGGGAGATTTTCTGATTTCTGTGCTTATTCACATGACCCCATCTTTTCACTACATCAAAGATTGCTACAATTTTCTGGGGGGCTTCTGCATTGGCAGTTCATGACCTAGGCCTTTGACTCCCTCATCTCTGCCTCGAATTTTCACCAAGATGCTGGCCGCAGGACTATGTACAGTATATGCCTCATTTCCTCTATATCACTTCCCCTTTAGGCACTTCTTACTAGAAAAGCAACACTTTCATGGGCGTTTACCAAGCGTTCTTAAAGCTTTTTCATTGTTCAAAAACACAACGAAAACTCACCATAAACATGTCATAAATGCTATAGGAGCGTCAATGAGCATTGCTTCATTTTCCATAATCAACACACGTGTGAACGAGCCCTGAAAGAAACTGAGACAGTCTCCCACAGTCCAAAACTACATCCATACATTAGACAGAAAAACAATGTCCTGGCTGAGGTGAATGGCATAACCTACCTTAGATAAGAAGGAAGTCCTAGACCTCAACACCACCTTGTCCCTAAACAGAATGGATTCCTTCAGGATAAGGCCACCTGTTTAGACACTCACCTTGCAGAAGTGAGTGCTACAAGAAATGCCACCTTGCAGTAAGCGTGAAGAGGGGAACATCTCTAAAGGGTTTAAATGGTGGTCATGTTGGTCCCTCCCACCGGCCATGATTTGCCTTCATTGTATAGAGAAGAGCTGGAACCTACTGATGATATCATTGAGTCTACAATGAGATATCTAATAAAAAAAGAAAGATCCTTTCTAAAAATGTTTGTAAGTTGATAAAGGGGGTAGGTCAGACCAGGAAATGCAAAATATAAGCTGATTAATCTTTAATGATGCAAGCTTTATTGCCAAATGAATAATCAGTCAATAAGTGGCATCATTCTGTACCCCTTGGTGGCTAACATGGTGCAACAGTCTGCTGCATGTTGAAAAATCTAAACAATTCACAAACTTTATCTTGTAGTTGTAGCTTACAACTGTTCCTAGGATCACAACCTGTACTGTGTATACATTTATGTATTTATAGGGTGCTGAGCACTTTTCTAAACTAATTAATTGCTCTAGAATAGCTGGTGACGTGCCACAACAAGTAATACTAAACCAACTTCTCAACACAGATGAAAGCATGAACTAGCTGTTACTGCCACAGTGGCAGGTATTTATTGTGTTTTGTAGGACAGAAAACTTAGAGATTCATATCACTTTCCATGGGTGATCACGGTGATAGCTCATTTGTTTCTCTTTCATTAAAATACATGGGGTTTTGCTTGCTTTGGAGTCTTGAATCAATCAAAGCAGAAAGTACATTTGTTATTTTACAGATTTGATTTGTTAATGTTTTTTTGTAAAGTTTTTTTTGTGTTTTTCCTAAATATAATCAGGATTAAGACATGTCACTGCTTTATAGAAAGGCCTGGTGCATTTCAAATTTTCTACATACGAGTATTTGAATATGAAATGGCATTTGGTGGTCTTTTTTTAAACAGAAAGTAATCTGCTACAAACATTAAAGACACTTACTAACATAGGTTTTAAAATTCGTTTTTGGTACTTTACAGGTCGTGGTGAGAAGGGACTTGAAGACTTGAAATACAACTAAAGGAAAAACGTTTTTTAGTTTTGGAAAGAAAGAATAGACATGGATTAGAACACCTATTAAAGCAGTTGTAAAGGCTGAAGGTAAAAAAACATTCAGTGTGCAGCAGCGTCCCCAGTCTCCCAATATGTACCTGAGCCCCATCTCAGTCCATCCATGTGCATGAGATCTCTGCATCCTCGGTAATCAGTTATTCCCACTACTATCAATCACAACCAGTGAGCCAATGAAGAGAGCAGGGGTGTAGCTGAGTTGTGCTTTGAGTGTGAATGGACACACAGAGCAGTGAGCTCAGAAGTCCCCATGGCAAGCTTCTTGCTATGGGTCACTAGGCAGGAGGGAGGGGCCTGGAGCTAGGAGAATGATCTGGGCTGTTCTGTGCAAAATTATTGCACAAAGCAGGTAAGTATGACATGTTTGTTATTGAAAAAAAAAATGTCACTTTAAGTTTTTATTGCTGTCTGTGCCCCTATTAGGAAGATTCATCATCTCTATTTGTCCTGTTTACCATTATCATTGAAACTGAAAGAAAAAGCCAATCCCAAATTTTGGGTTGTCCCCAGAAAAATACTAGGGTGGAATCTTCCAATGGGGACACTAGTTCTGGTAACCAAAGGGATTCCCTTAATTTACAGGGATTTCCTCTCACTTCCTGTTTTGGCTTTGAGACAGGAAGCGAATGGAAATCTCCCCAATGGGACTGAAATGGCAAAAAAAAAATGACAGGGGTTATAACTCTCTCTTACTCTATCTAAAATGAAAAAAAAGAAGTTTTGCCTATGATTCTACTTTTTAAGAAGTCAAACAGCCCTCATTCTAACTTGTCTTGTTGGGTTTCAAGCCTTGCTTCACAGAAGCCATGGTTTCCATACCATGAATTGATGATAGCCAGCCTGAAACAGATGCATGCCGTCTGGTTCTATAATATCAGGCTATAGCTGTGTTAGGCACTATTGGTTCTAGATGTGCATTTGACTGTTTGGGGTGTAAACAGGGGCAGACTGACAACTCATGGGGCCCCGGGCAATAGGGTATCATGGGGCCCCTGTGTCCTTGCCCAAACTCAAAAAAGCCTATGAAAAATGTACCAGGGGCATCTCATGGGGCCCCCTACTGACCCCGGGCCCTCGGGCAGTGCCTGAGTTTCCAAATGGTCAGTCCGCCCCTGGGTGTAAAGGAATGCTTTGTGGCTCCACCCACTCTCCTCTTTTTTTTATGCCGCTGTTCTGATCTTTATTAATCAATATGCAAGAGGCCACAAACAAGAATGGATATTATGAGAGATTAGTAAAAAAAAAAAAGGTGTTTTTCTCTTCCATGTACAAGGGGCCCAAATGTAACTTTTCTAAAATTCCAATTTCTTTGATTCATAGTAAGCTGCAGTTACCAGTAATACACACTAGATGGAAACCATGAACCATGTTTTGTGGGAAATAAAGCAATTCTTCATTTGTAATCTCGATACATTGTAGAAAATAATACAGCATATGCTGACCTGAATTAAAGAAGAAATGGCAGTGCTGCACAAAATGTATTGATCCTTATCAGTAAATGTGAAAATTCCTCCATACACCCCAGGAAGCATCCAGATTCTTCCCATGTGCTACTCTAGATGTTTGCCTTGCTGGAAATACCGCCTACTTTTGTTATTTTACATATTTGTACAGTTCTGCGTCTACAATTCTGTGATTCTGGTGTTGAGCAAGTGCAGATAAAAAATGTCTGTGGTTGGATGATTCCAGTGGCTTTTTTTTATTCAGGATACATTGAAAAAATGTGTGTGTGGTGCATGTGTGGCAGCTTGACTTTTTTGTTAAATAGAGCCAGATGGACACAGCAAAGAATCAAGAAAAGGCATTGAGAAACTGAAGAATGCACTATAAATAGGTTACCATAAGGACTGAACAAAAAATACATTTTTTCTAAAAAAAAAAAAAAGTCTGTGCCTTTGCTTTGTCTCTTTCTTTTAAATTTATTGGGATTTTATTGGAACCAGAGTATTGTTTTAACTAAAACAAAAGCAGTCATCCTCAGAAATAAAAATGTATGACGATGGGGTTATCTTGATTTTTTTTTTTTTTAGCTAAGAGTGAAGAGAGAAGTGCCATTTTATTTTGGATTTTCCTTTGAGGTAAACCAAAAGTGTAAGGTGATATCAGTTGGTGAATTTGGAGAAATCCAGAACTGGAGAAAACACCCCATTTAAAGGGAAAGATGCGCTAAGACCTACTTAGTGTATAGGTAAATCCTTGGAGGTGAACAGTTGATGTGATTGGTGGATTGCATATGGTTTTTTTGTATTAACCAGCTGAGCTACAGAAGGTTTTACCTCCTTCACAGGGGCGGACTGACCATTTGGAAACTCGGGCACTGCCATGAGATGCCCCTGGTACCTTTTTCATAGGCTTTTTTGAGTTTGGACAATGACACAGGAGCCCCATGATCCCCTATTGCCTGGGGTCCCATGAGTTGTCAGTCTGCCCCTGCTTCTTCATGACCAGGCCTTTTTTTTACTTTTCGGTTTGTGTTGAAGAATGTGCTGGACAAACTGGATCAGTCACTGGTCATAGGTGGGTAGTTGTGTGGGTGGGTAGGGATATGTCCCTCCATTCGGTCATGCCCAATGATGGATACTGGCAATAAACCCTCTTAGGGTTTGGGCTGCTGCCTTTCTGGTATGGCCCTAGTCGTTTCCACACGTAGACATGGAATATTAGGAAAGAAGGGGCTCCTGAAGTCCAAAATAATGCACTTTTGATGGTAAATTAAGAAGCTTTTATTGAGACTATCGACACATACATCAAACCAATGTGTTTCTGGAGAAAAGACTCCACCTTCTTCAGGGCCATTAAATTGGAAAGATTCCCACACCGGTTATATCTTTTCCAGGTTTTGGAGGAAAAACTGACAGTGACGGGTGTCATTCCAGTGGCAGTGATTAGACAGTCCAAGGTAATTAGTAAGAGACATGGTAAGTTTATTGAAGTTGTAATTTTGTCACAATTGTTTTTATTTACCTACTGCCACTAGTGCAGTACAGCATCATCATATCTTGGTGTGGTGCTGATCAAGTATACTGACTGATGATAGTATAGAAAAAGATACATACAAATTAATAATAATAATGTTTATTCAATATTTCAAATGGTTTTTCTATTATTCTAACATTTGGATGGGCATGTCCCCTCGTACGCGGGCACAGGGCGGACGGGCATGTCCCCTCGTACGCGGGCACAGGGCGGACGGGGCATGTCCCCTCGTAAGCAGGCTCAGGGCGGACGGGCATGTCCCCTCGTACACGGACTGAGGGCGGACTGGCATGTCCCCTCGTACACGAACTGAAGGCGGACGGGCATGTCCCCTCGTACGGGGACTGAAGGCGGACTGGCATGTCCCCTCGTACACGAACTGAAGGCGGACGGGCATGTCCCCTCGTACACGGACTGAGGGCGGACTGGCATGTCCCCTCGTACACGGACTGAAGGCGGACGGGAATGTTCCCTCGTACACGGGCACAGGGCGGATGGGCATGTCCCCTCGTACACGGGACTGAAGGCGGACGGGCATGTCCCCTCGTACACGGACTGAGGGCAGACTGGCATGTCCCCTCGTACACGGACTGAAGGCGGACGGGCATGTTCCCTCGTACACGGGCACAGGGCGGATGGGCATGTCCCCTTGTACACGGGCTCAGAGCGGACGGGCATGTCCCCCCTCGTACACGGGCACAGGGTCGGACGGGTATGTCCCTTCATACACGGACTGAGGCCGAACGGGCACGGGCATGTCCCCTCGTACACAGGCACAGGGCGGATGGGCATGTCCCCTCGTACACGGACTGAAGGCGGACGGGCATGTCCCCTCGTACACGGGACTGAGGGCAGACTGGCATGTCCCCTCGTACACGGACTGAAGGCGGACGGGCATGTTCCCTCGTACACGGGCACAGGGCGGATGGGCATGTCCCCTTGTACACAGGCTCAGAGCAGACGGGCATGTCCCCTCGTACACGGGGGCTGACAGGGTCTACGGGTATGTCCCCCCTTCATACACGGACTGAGGCCGAACGGGCATGTCCCCTCGTACACGGGCACAGGGCGGACGGGCATGTCCCCTCGTACACGAACTGAGGGCGGACGGGCATGTCCCCTCGTACACGGGCTCAAGGTACACAGCACTCGTCCCCTCACACAGAAGGGGAGCAGGCGCAGCGCAGTGTGCACAGCCTCGGCCCTCCCCTTGCAGACATTATAGAGCGGGGCTTCATGGCAGCCGTGAAGGGGCCTGTGGCGGTGTGCCTGCGGTGTGTGAGAGGAGGTGGAGGGCCAGGTGTGGGAGCCCGTAGACGGGAGAGTGCAGAGCACACAGGAGGGAGGACAGCTGCATCCTGCCAGGTACAGGGATATGAGGGAGGGAGGGATGGAAGGAGGGAACGTTGTGCTATTATTCTGTGTACTCAGTGCCGTCCATGGATGTATAGAGCGGAGTAGATAGCAGACATCACACACAGTACACCTCAGAGAGGAGCCGAGCCGTGTACAATGTTCGGTGTGTACAGCAGGCCCTCGCATACATGTACAGATTGCTGCCAAGGTTCCGATGTGTCTGTATGGGTATTGTCGGCTCTGGGCCTAGCGTCACCTAAAATGTGGAGGAATACACGATGCAATGCTCCCCAAATATGAAGACTCCATATGGCCTGATGAGTGTGTAGTGTCATGGCAGAATGAACCTCTGCTCACAAATATGACACTATACAATGGAGCCATCGCCACAAACTCTGTATTTCTGTATTCTCCATGGTGGGACACAGTGATTGGAGAACATCTGACACAACTGGGTTGTAGCAAACCTCCTAAAGGCTATAGATTGTTAATATTTAACCTCTTCCCACCACCGCCCCCCTGGCTCTTTAACCACTTGCCCTCCAGAGGACTTACCCACCCCCCCCCTTCCCAACCAGGCCATATTTTTTTGCTTTACAGCACTGTGTTACTTTAACTGACAGTTGCGCGGACATGCAACACTGCACCCAAATGAAATGTATGTCCTTTTTTCCCCACAAATGGAGCTTTCTATCGGTGGTATTTGATCACCTGTGCGGTGTTTATTTTTTGCACTAAAAAAAAAACCAATATTTTTGACTTTTTGCTATTAAACATATCCAGGTACAAAATTTTAATAAATCAAATTTCGTCATACATTTAGTTCAAAATGTATTCTGCTACCTGTCTTTGCTAAATAAAATCCCGATACGTGTAAATTCATTGGTTTATGTGAAAGTTATAGCGTTTATAAATGGCAGCATATATACTGGGATTTTTAGTTTTACTAGTAATGGCAGTGATCAGCGACTTATAGAGGGACTGCGGCGGGCATTCTGACACTGGGGTGGAACTGACTTGGTGTCACTGACATCCCCGTGACACCAATACAGTGATCAGTGCTAATAAAAAGCACTGACACTGTACTAATGGCACTGGGCAGGAAGGGGTTAACATGTGGTTTTGCGCACCCCTGCCATCCTGTAGCAGTATTACTGCTATAGAGCAGATGGGAAGCGGTTAATAGAATCAAAATGCCAATCATGTGACTGCTGTAATTGGCTGTCCCAGCACTCACATGATCTGAAGCTCCCAATCACAAGTATGAATCAGGAGCTTTCTGTGACATTATACTTACTGTGCTGGGAGTACGCTCTGAAAACAGAAAGACATATCCTATGGATGTGTATATGTGGCTTCTCAGCATTAAAACTAACCCATGCAGAGACAACACATATGCACACAGCCGGCAGGAACAGGTCTAAGCCAAAATAAAAACAGAAGAATCAGTACAAGGGATATGTGCATGAAGCAGGATCTCTGAATAGAGGGGACGGAGCTATCACTGATCCACCTATCCTCCGTTCAGAGATCCTGTTTCATTCATAGAAGCTGTAATATGGCAACCATGCACGGAGGAGCTGGACAGAAAGGGCAGGTATAGTTAGGCTCTCTTGATGAAAGCCTGTGACAGTCCCTTCTTATAACCCCCAGCATACACTAAACAAGAAGAATACAGTGGGGGGATGAAAACAGAAGAGTCATGGGCACAAAGGATATGTTCAGCCGACTATAAGTTATGTCCCTGATGCTGATTTTTCTGTTTATTTCTTGGCTGCATTTAAAGTGGTTCTAAAGGTGTTCACAATAGCCTCGAATTTCTCAGGGACTCTTCCTCCTCAGTGGCTGAGACAGCAGCGGAAGCCCATAGGCTCCTGCTGCTGTCAATCACAGCTAGTGTGTCAGTGAGGAGAGAGCGGGGTTGGGGTCTTTGTGTCTTATGAATGCATAGAACAGCGGCTCGGGGATGAGCATGCAGCGGTGCCCTACCCCCCCCCCCACCCCCCCCCCCCCCCCCCCCCACCCCCCCCCCCCCCCCCCCCCCCCCCCCCCCCCCCCCCCCCCCCCCCCCCCACCCCCCCCCCCCCCCCCCCCCCCCCACCCCCCCCTCAGGGTGAACTGCTTTCTCTGGGGACATTGCTTGAGGGGGAGGAGCCAGGAGTGCCGCGCGGGGACCCGGAAAGAAGAGGATCATGACTGTGCAGTGCAAAACACAGAGCAGGTAAGTATAAACTGTTTGTTATTAAAAACAAAAACAAAGCATTAATGTCACCTTAACCAAGTATAGCTGGGTCGAAAAATGAAAGTTCTGTCAATCAAAAATAGCTCATATGATCGTGCAATCAATTTTTTGGATTTTCTTAAAAACAAAACCCAAAAAAAACCCAGCATGCTGGATCAGGCACTTTCGATTGTGGCAGGAGAATTATGTTTCGCAGCTGGCACACTAACAATGTGAAAAACGAATGATTCGATGATCAACATGAATTTCGTTCGCTTTTCAACTCATCTATGGCCTGCCTAAAGTGGAACAATACTCACCTCCAATCCCATGATGCGCTGTCCTGGAGCTCCCTGCCTGGCCTCTGATATCTTCGGGCAGCTGTCTTCCTGGTCCCAAACACTGGTCGCTGTCATTGAATGGGCCAGGATGATGTCACTCCCCCGCATGCGCAGGAGTTCTGTCAAATTTGTCATTGCCAAATTTGTACAGTGAGCTGCACGGCTCGCTGGACAGGCAGGTAGATAGCTTTAATGCAGAAGAAACAAATCATGTCTCTTCTGCATTAAATATCCTCCTGCCTGTCCACCCATTTTTAATCTGTACCTAAAGTTCTATTTCAGGGCTTTAACCCTTTCACTACCAGGTCTGCATGGTTTACGGACCTACAGCACCGCTTCTAGCTGGCCGGTGCGTACGCCGTATGGACCTACATTCCTGCTCTGCTACAAGCTCATGGTCACTTTAATGACCATGAACCTATAGCAGAAATGTTCAGCAGACTCTGCGGAACACAAGGATAGTTCGGACAAGCTGCTGTTCAGAGCTAATGTAAAATGTGACCCCCCCAGCCCTGCACTAACTACAACTCCCCCCTAGCACCGATCCCCCCCCCCCCCCCCCAAACTTGATCCCACTGTGGCCGCTTCACCTCCTGCTGGCTGCAGCTGCTGACAGATCACTGTGAGCTTGAGGAGTGGAGCCCCCTTCATTTCCTGAGAGGGGGGGGGCTTGTAAACATGTGTTTACCAGCCCTCTTCCTTTCCTCGATAAATACAGACAGATTGCTTCTGTATTCATTAATCACTGACAGGTAGTAAATGTTGTAGGCGTTGAGGTGCGCTATAGCCCATTCATTTTAAATGGGCTGCCCAACTTAGTGCAATGCACCTCAATGTACAAAAATGCACAGCTGTTGTGTGGTCCTCTGGAAGTGTCAGGGGCCACACTTAAGGCCCTCTATAATTTTTAAGTTGACCGCCACTGCTTTAAAGGTTCTTTGATGTTTTATTTACTGGAAAATCAAACAAAGTCGATTTACTGAAAGCAAATGGACTGTTCACTTTGTAAGGGAAGCTGCATTTTGCAAGGGAAATTTCCCAGAGCTTAGTGAATAAGGTATAGCTCTGCTGATTTCCATCATCCAGTCACATGCAAGTCAAAGTGCTGTTTCCTTTTCGTTTTTTCTTTGCACCTGATTGGATATTCTTTGCAAAGTGAAATTTCACCACATTCACTAATCTCTGGGGAAGATTCCCATGAATAGCCTATTTGCCTCAAAGAATCTGATTGGTCATCATGGTTAACATCTCACTAACAGCTCATGCACATGGGTGTAAAATACACCTCCTTCAGATCCGTACTATGTGCATGGATCTAAACTCAAAAGTATTTTATGCTATTGGTCCATAGCTTTTTTTGCTGCATAAACCAAAAACAGGAAAAATCTGTATCCACAGTCAAATTTTGATGGTATTATTTTATATTTTTTTCGGATATGGACTATTGCACCATGACTGAATTCAGGACCAAAAGGAGATGTAAACATAAACAATGCGTAGGAAGTGCCAGCAACAAAAACACAGAGTGACCTTGGCTTTTAGTCATGAATGACTGAACACCAAGGTAATTCTACACCTGCTTCACTGCCTATCTATTGTTGATGTTTACATCTCTTCCAGTCCATGAATGACTGGAGACTGAGGTCTTTGTGCACCCGTGCTGTCACTAGAGTCATTCATGGGCTGTGGGAGATATATACAAAGACGGACCCCTACATATGCATCTTAGCACATATTGACATAAGCGCATGTATGTCTCTTTTTACACAGGACATTGTTGGCAGCTTCCTACCAGCATGATCCTGTGTAAATACATATGTCCTTTCGCATATGGCTTAAGTATTAGTATACAGTATTTTGATGTTTTAGTACACTAATATGTATTTCTGTTTCCATTACCAGGTCTTTACCTTACTTCAATACTGGTGAGTCCTGCACTTTGGTTCTTCCAGGTAAGATTTTATTTAATGAATCATTATCAAGTTGCAATAATAACATTATTGCTCATTAAATGTTGTGTAGTCCATGGACCATTTCTATGGTTGAGAAGTTCATCATGAAACTATTACTGTTTTTGTTTAAGAGACATATCATACCCAAGTTAGGGCCCTTTTACACTGCTCCAACACAAAAAGACATATGCCTTTTTGCCATGTTTCCATTGCATTTTCTGGACGCCTATTACCCAACATGTACCTGTGGAACTTGAACATGTGACTCAAAAATGCAGTGCAGGTGCATTTTTCATGCGTTTTTGACACGGTTTTCATGAGTTTCTGGTGCCGAAACAGAAAACGAAAATTCAAAATGCACTTGGCCAAAAACTGAAACCGTAATGGGCAGGTTTTAAAAATGAATATATCTTTTTTGGAAAAAAATACACTTTGAATAAAAAATAACAATATATATCCTAATTTTTTTGTAAAATATGAAAGCGGATGTTACGGCAAGTAAATAGACATCCAACATGTCAAGCTTTAAAATTGCGCACGCTCATGGAATGGTGTGAAAACGGCGGTACTTAAAAATCTCCATGGGTGATGCTTTAAAAAATTTCTACAGGTTAGCAGTATCAAGTTACAGAGGAGGTCTAGTGAAAGAATTATTGCTCTTGCTCTGACATTTGTGGCGATACCTCACGTGTGTGGTTTAAACACCGTTTATATATGTGAGCATGGCCTACATATGTGTTCACCACTACGTGCGAGCAGGGGGGATGGGGGCACTTTAAACATTTTTTTTTAAATTATTAAATGTTTTTTCTGTTTTGTTTTTTTTTTTTGCACTGTTCCTTTAAAAAAAAATGTTATCACTTTTAGTCTTATCACAAGAAATGCATGTATCCCTTGTGATAGAAATAATTAGTGGCAGGTCCTCTTTATGGAGAGATATGGAGTTAATAAGACCCCACATCTCTCCTCTGCAATGTAAAGCATAGGATCAAAAAAAAGCATTGATCTACTGCTTTAAAAAAAAAAAAACATCGCTCCGGTCCTCCAAGGGAATAGAGATGAGTGGCGGTCATCTTTCCTTCACTCATCTCTATGCCCAGCGCCTGGATTGATGGTTTCTCAGGTAAAGCTGAGAATTACCGAGGGGCGGGTTTTTTCTGCACCTGTATCAGGGCTTTTTTTCATTTCGGCCAACCGCCGAAAGGGGTGAAACGTTTCAGCCACCAAAATTTCGGTGCATCCCTAGTTTCCTATTCATTTCAATGGGGACTTTGAAAACTGCACCAAAGATGCAGCAAGCAGCACTTTTCAAAACGCACCGCACTCACAGCGCAGTGTGCAGCGTCCCATAGGCTTTAAAGGGATTGCATTTTCTGCTGTGTATATTGCATGGTAAAAACACAGCAAAACACATCAGTGTAAAAGCAGCCTAATATTTAATATTTTATGCAATTAGAAAAATAAATAAAAAATGCTAATTTATTCTAATCATGCTAGCCATGTACCAAGGATCAATTTGGATAAACAAACTTCTGAAAGTAGAATCACATTGTGCATACGGACAGCCAAAAGGTTTGACAGTTCATGCTGAAAATGTAAATACTTTCCATTGTAGCAAATAAAAAAATCTTCTTGTACTGTATGTGGCCTGGTATAGTCTATGCTGTTATATTCATTATTGTCTTTTTGTTCTTGTTCTTGCTAGGTTTGTTCAGATGCAGAATGTTTGGAAGATCTTTCTACTAACCTGAAAAAAAGAATGGTGCAGTAATATATGACTTGTAATAAGTGAACATCGAGTAGAAATGAAAACAGGATTCGCCGTGCCATAGCGGTAACCATGGGTTGCAATAGCACAGCTTTTGGCAGCTGCGTGATTTCCAGTGAGAATGCAACTATTATGAACTCAGACTCCAGGTTTGCTGCATTCCCAACCCCACTCAGGATATTATTGGCAATAATTATGGTATTAATGATTGCCATTGCTTTCTTGGGCAATGCTATTGTTTGCCTTATCGTTTACCAGAAGCCAGCTATGCGATCTGCAATCAATCTCCTACTTGCAACGCTGGCATTTTCTGACATCATGCTTTCCCTTTTTTGCATGCCTTTTACTGCAGTCACGATTATCACTGGGAGTTGGCACTTTGGCAGCCAGTTCTGCCAGATTTCAGCCATGCTGTACTGGTTTTTTGTCTTGGAAGGAGTGGCTATACTACTCATTATCAGCGTTGATCGTTTTCTGATCATTGTACAGAGACAAGATAAACTAAATCCACACCGTGCCAAGATAATGATTGCTACTTCTTGGGTGTTGTCCTTCTGTATCTCCTTTCCATCTGTAGTAGGCTGGACGCTGGTGGAGGTTCCAACACGTGCACCTCAGTGTGTCTTGGGATACACAGAATTTTTAGCGGATAGGGCATATGCAGTCATGTTGGTTGTAGCAGTATTCTTTATCCCTTTCAGTGTAATGCTGTACTCCTATCTATGCATCCTGAACACTGTCAGAAGAAATGCTGTCAGGATTCATAACCATGCCGAGAGCCTCTGTCTGAGTCAAGTAAGTAAGTTGGGCTTGATGGGACTGCAGAGGCCTCATCAAATGAATGTGGACATGAGTTTTAAGACAAGGGCCTTCACCACTATTTTGATCTTGTTCATTGGATTTTCTCTTTGCTGGCTTCCGCACTCAGTGTTCAGTCTGTTGTCAGTGTTTAGTAGGACTTTCTACTACAGTAACTCATTTTATGTGATCAGCACTTGCATCTTGTGGCTCAGTTACCTCAAGTCTGTATTCAACCCCGTTATATACTGTTGGAGAATCAAGAAGTTCCGTGAGGCCTGCATGGAGTTCATGCCCAAAACATTTAAGATTCTTCCAAAAATCCGGGGGAGGACGAGGAGGAGGATACGCCCAAGTACTATCTATGTTTGTAGTGAACACCAGTCTGCTGTTTAAAGAAAAGATTTTCAGGGATAACTGTTAAGGTATAACTAAGGTCAAAACTTTTTTAGATTTGGATAGAGTGATGAGAGGCTAAGACTACTGTTGCTTTTTTTTTATTGCATTCTGTGTCCCTATTAGGGGCATTTACTCTCTATAATTGTGTGATCACCAAAATCACCATGTATGAAAATAAAGGTTGGCACCAGAACAACAATTTAGGGGAAATCTTCCAATGGGACACCTGTTCCAACGACAACTGTCAAACAGAGGATTTTCCTCACATTGGAAAGGTACCCTCTCACCTCCTGTTGAGTCTGGACAGGAAGCTAGGAGAAATCTTCCTGACAGATAACCAAAAATAGTGGTTTTTACTCTCCTCCACTCTCTCCAGAATGAAAAAAATGTTTTGGCTGTAGGTATTCTTTAACTGAACACATAACACTACATTTACTTATTTGCCAAAAATCGTTTAGGTTTCTTTTCGTATGTGTTTGCCAAAAATCTTTAGGTTTATTTATTTATTGTATGCATAATATCAGAACACTGTCCACCCAGAAGTTCACTCCTGCCTACATTCACATGCATTATTTAATGGTAACATGTAGTGTTCTTTCTTGACCTTCATAATGAAGTTTTTGCTTGTACATGAATAATCGAATCTAATGCAATTTGTACATGAGGTTACAGAAATTTCCCTGATAATGTTCTCCAGAAGCAGCAGAAGGAAAATGTTTGTATTGCACTGAATTATTGTACATATTTTTGTCAAAGAAAACAGGTAATGATCACTTTAAGCAATATAAGAAATGGGTATATCACACAGTTTGCAATAAAACCAGGAATAAAAGTAGCGTTTCAATATATATTTTTTATTTACCTTTTTTTGATCTTCAGATGCCTTTGTAACATTGTTTAGGAGTATAAATGGAAGCAGGCACCATACTCTTGTGGACATTTTGGTCATCTGATTGACTGCAGATTTCTGCCTCTCACTACGTAAATGCCAACAGAGTGAAGAATGATGACAATGGAATATAATAAATGGATTCCGAAATAAAGCCAAATGCTCTTTAAGATATTGTGCATAGTAGGTTCAGCACCTTTTTGGGCACATTTACCTACAATTGTGTTTTTAAAACAATCCTGTGCTGAGAAAAATATAAAAATGCCACTTTCAACCTCCTGAAAAGCTGGGTGCCTGGCTGACCTGCTAATCTGCTGGCTTCAGTGCACAAGTGAAGTTTAAACTCCTGATCTATATACTTGTTCTGGGTCAATATCTCAAAGTAGTGAAACCACTGGATGAGCATGACAATGAGGCAGCTAGTATTTTTGGTATCAAGGTGACCAACATCTGTAGAAGGCTAAATTACACTCTGTATGCTCAGGTAGTTTACTGTCTAGCTAAAAGTTAATATTCTTCAGAGAACCTGACAGACTGCTAGTATTTTTACTGTTGAGTTCAGCGGAAAACAAAGTAAAATATACTGTGTATATTAAAGGGTCTGTTTTGTCTACTTAAAACCTGTTATAGATAATACATGTAAACAATATTGATGTAAATAATTGTAGCAAAAAATTGCCGTGTTTGATTTGTAAGTACATGGGGCAGCTATATTTGCTCATACTCTTGCCACATGAGGCCGGGCATTGTTGGGCACCAGGAGAACCCCAGGACCCACTGCACCAGCATAGGGTCTGACAATGGGTCAAAGGATATCATCCCGATAGCTAATGGCAGTCAGGGTGCCATTGTCTAGCCTGTAGAGGTCTTTGCATCCCTCCATGGATATGCCTTCCCAGACCATCACTGACCCCCTACCAAAACAGCATGCTGAACGATGTTACAAGCAGCATAATGTTCTCCATGGCTTCTCCAGATCCTTTCATGTCTGTCACATGTGCTCAGGGTGAACCTGCTCTGCTCTGCTGTGAAAAGCACAGGGCACCAGTGGCAGACCTGCCAATTCTGGTGTTCAATAGCAAATGCCAATCCAGCTCTATAGTGCCGCTCAGTGAGCACAGGTCCCACTAGAGGACGTCGGGCCCTCAGGCTACCCTCATGAAGTCTTTCTGATTGCTTGGTCTCAGACATTCACACCAGTGGCCTGCTGGAGGTCATTTTGTAGGACTCGGGCAGTGTTCATCCTGTTCCTCCTTGCACAAAGGAGCAGATACCGGTCCTGCTGATGGGTTAAGGACCTTGTACGGCCCTGTCCAGCTCTCCTAGAGTAATTGCCTGTCTCCTAGAAGCTTTTTAAGAATGCTCCTGCGACTCTTTATTTCACAATGCAGTGTAAATGGCTTAGCAGGCTGTTTGATTTGCACTTGAATGGAGCTCTTCTTTATGTTGCTTGCCTGATATTAAAGTGATTGTAAACACTACATTTTATATTTTAAAAATGACAAACAGGTTTATACTATGGAATTGCACAAAGCGGCCCCAATCCCCCTCTTCTCTGATCCCCCGCCAGCACTCCTGGCTCCTTCCTTACACCAAGATGCAGTTTTGCAACTTTAACGTGTTAATAAAACTGTACATATGATCATAACTACTTTGTGTATTCAGGTGAATTATACCTTTTTTTGCTTTAATTTGGTGGTAAATGGTATTGAACCTCTTGATTCTTAATTATCAAAAGGAAAACTGGCCCAAAAAATAAAATTGTTGTATATTTCTTGCTATTACCATAACCTACCACCAAAGAACAACCCAAAATAAATTCTCCTGCTTATGACAGTTGTAGCAATACCACATACACTATGTTGCCAAAAGTATTGGGATGCCTTCCGTTACATGCACATGAACTTTAATGGCATCCCAGTGAAGTCCGTAGGGTTCAATATTGAGTAGGCCCACCCTTTGCAGCTATAACAGCTTTAACTCTTCTGGGAAGGCTGTCCACAAGGTTTAGCAGTGTGTCTATGGGAATGTTTGACTATTCTTCCAGAAGTGCATTTGTGAGGTGAGGCACTGATGGACAAGAAGGCCTGGCTTGCAGTCTCCGCTCTAATTCATCCCAAAGGCGTTCTATCGGGTTGAGGTCAGGACTCTGTACAGACCAGTCAAGTTCCTCCACCCCAAACGCCCTCATTAATGTCTTTATAAACCTTGATTTGTGCACTGGTGTGCAGTCATGTTGGAACAGGAAGGGGCCATCCCCAAACTGTTCCCACAAAGTTGGGAGCATGAAATTGTCCAAAATGTCTTGGTATGCTGAGGCCTTAAGAGTTCCCTTCACTGGTACTAAGGGGCCAAGTCCAACCCCCGAAAAACAACCCCACACCATAATCCCCCCTCACCAAACTTTACACTTGGCACAATGCAGTCAGGCAAGTACCGTTCTGGCAACCACCAATCCCAGACAAGTCCATTGGATTGCCAGACAGAGAAGCGTGATTCCTCACTCCAGAAAACACGTCTCAGCTGCTCTACAGTTCAGTGGTGGCTTGCTTTACACCACTGCATCCAAAGCTTTGCATTGCACTTGATGATGTAAGGCTTGGATGTAGCTGCTCGGCCATAGAAACCCATTCCATGAAGCTCTCTACGCATTGTTGTTGTGCTAATCTGAAGGCCACATGAAGTTTGGAGGTCTTTATTGACTCTGCAGACAGTTGGTGACTTCTGTGCACTGTGCGCTACAGCATGTGCTGACCCCACTCTGTCATTTTACATAGCCTACCACTTTGTGGCTGAGTTGCTGTTGTTCCCAGTTGCTTCCAGTTTGTTATAATACCACTAACAGTTGACCGTGGAATATTTAGTAGCAAGGAAATTTCACGGATGGATTTATTGCACACGTGGAAACCTATCACGGTACTGAGCTCCTGAGAGCGACCCATTCTTTCACAAATGTTTGTAGAAGCAGTCTGCATGCCTAGCTGTTTGATTTCTATACATCTGTGGCCATGGAGGTGATTGGAACACCTGAATGGAGGGCTGGCCCAATACTTTTGGCAATATAGTGTGTTATTTGTTGTATGTACTCGTAGTAGAGCCCAGAAACAATGGTGCACATTTTGATTTTTATCCTATGTAAACCACACTGATACTAATTTTAAAAATGCCTTTTTTAAACCCTACCTAAAATATTCTGACCTTTGACTTTGGCCTGGACCTTTGGCCCTTACCTTGACTCTAACACTAATCCAGACACTGACCTAGATCAAACTTTGATCTATTTTTTTTTTCTCTACACACACACAGTTTGTTTACATTTTACAGTTTACAGGGTATCTTTCCTGTCATTCAGCAGAGAAAAAAACCCAGGAGTGGGCTGCACAGTGACTAATCAGAGGCTATCACAGCAATTAGGTGACCAGGAACAGGGTGTCGTGGTTCCCACTCCCCAGTAAGGAGGCTCTTGGTGAGAGCCTGGTCTCTGTGCTGGGAGCGCATTGTGCAGCCCGCTCTCAGCACACAGAAACGCATACAGTATATGTGTCGCCCAGGTTTAAAGCCCATTTCCAGGATGCCACATATACTGTATGTGTAATGGTGTCAAAAAAGGGTTAATGCAAGGAATGCATTAAGGTAAAAAAAATGAAGGCTTTATAACCACTTTAGGTAGAAGTCATTTGTATCTCTTTTGCTCCCCGAGCTTTACTAAAGCAGCATATACATTATTTTTTGTTTATTTATTACAGGCACTTATATAGTTCCATTAATTTATGCAGCATTTTACATATATACAATGGATATAAAAAGTCTACACACCCCTGTAAAATGTCAGGTTTCTGTGATGTAAAATAATGAGACCAAGATAAAAAATTTCAGAACTTTTTCCACCTTTAATGAAACCTATAAACTGTACAACTCAGTTGAACAACAAACTGAAATCTTTTAGGTGGTTCATCAAGATATGCAGAAAATGCAGGATCGCACTGCGGCCTTGGAGGGGAGAGAGTACCCTAGAAGATGATTGGCAACCATTACACAGGGACGTGCGATATGTGCAATCGATCGCTTCTACTAATGCCTCTAGATTGGAAGATTGCAAAAATCGGTTACGCCGCAACAATGTGTGTGCAGTGGGCATACCAGGGCTTGCTGAGGGTAAAAATCCTGTAACCTTTATTGAAGCTTGGCTGACCTCTACCTTAAGCAGTGATGCACTCTCCCCCATGTTTTTTGCTGTGCGTGCACACAGAGTCCTAGCACGTGCTCCTCCGGTTGGCGCTCCTCCGCGGCCCTTTTTGTTCAGACTCCTCGATTGTCGGGACAGAGATACGATTCTCTCCAGGGCCAGAAGCAAGGGTAACCTGTCAGTTGATAATGGTCAAGTATCCTTATTTCCAGATTTTCCGTGAAAGTTCAAAAGCAACGTGCAAAATTCCAGGATGTCAAAAAACATCTTTGGGATTTGGGCCTACAATATGCCATACTATATCCGGCTAAACTTTGCGTGCCTGCGGATGACCCTCCTCACTTCTTTGATAGTCCTAATGCAGCCTTACAGTGGTTGGATGGAGCGGAACATCGCCTGGCAAACTCCCCTGGAACTTGACCTTGGGGACCTGGTTGATCCTTAGTGCCTTAAACTCAGCTTAGCAAAACAGCAGGGTATTGCTCTCAAATTTCCTCCCTTTTTGTTTCTTTTTTTCCACTTAAGTTGGGGCGCCTCCCCTCTTATGCTTTCCCTACATTTACCTGCTTTGTGCATGTCCACGAGACATTGTGTAAACCCAAACCTGTTTTTGGTCCTGAGGGGACCTTTTGGCCTCCTGCCAGTGTTTTCAGTCAATATTATTACGTCTCTGTTGGCCTACATGTTGGTGATAATTGCAGTATTCTCCCTTGCTTTGTTTATGGTTCACCTGGGATGTCTATATTTGGGCATAAAATGTGCTCTGAATGTCATCTAAGTCACAACACTAGAAGAACACAGTCTGCTGAACATAATACTACACAAACATTAGATGTTGCCATGGTTTAATTGCACATAACATGTAAACATTCACAGTTCAGGGAGGAAAAAGTATATGAACCTTTGGACTTAATAACTGATTGACCCTCCTTTGGCAGCAATAACCTCAACCAAACATTTCCTGTAGTTGCAGATCAGACCTGCACAATGATCTGAGTAATTTTGGACCACTCCTCTTCACAAAACTGTTTCAGTGTAGCAATATTCTTGGGATGTCTAGTGTGAATCGCTCTCTTAAGGTCATGCCACAGCATTTCAATCGGGTTGAGGTCAGGACTCTGACTGGGCCACTCCAGAAGGCGTATTCTGTGCTATTGCAGCCATTGTTTTGTTGAATTACTTCTGTGCTTTGGGTCATTGTCCTGTTGCATCACCCATCCGCTGTGGAGCTTCAGTTGGCGGACAGATGGTCGTACGTTTTCCTGCAAAATGTCTTGATAAACTCCAATTCATTTTCCCATCAATGACAACAATCCGTCCAGGCCCTGAGGCAGCAAAGCAGCCTCAAACCATGATGCTCCCTCCGCCATGTTTTACAGTGGGGATGAGGTTTTGATGTTGGTGCGCTGTGCCTTTTTTTCTCCACACAGTGTTGTGTATTCTTCCCAAACAACTCAATCTTGGTTTCATCTGTCCACAGTATATTTTGCCAGTAGTGCTGTGGAACATCCAGGTGCTCTTTTGCAAACTTCAAACGTGCTGCAGTATTCTTTTTGGACAGTAATGGCTTCCTCCGTGGTGTCCTCCCATGTACTCCATTCTTGTTTAAGGTTTTCCTTATTGTAGATATGTTGTAGATTGTAGAAATGTTAGCATGTGCCAGAGATTTCTGTAGGTCTTTCGCGCACACTCAGGGATTCTTCTTTACCTCATGCAGCATTCTGTGCTGTGCTCTTGCAGTCATTTTTACAGGACCACCACGCCTAGAGAGAGTAGCAACAGTGCTAAACTTTCTCCATTTGTAGACAGTCTGTCTTACCGTGGACACATGAACATCAAGGCTTTTGGAGATACTTTTGTAACCCTTTCCAGCTTCATGCAAGTCAACAATTCTTGATCGTAGGTCTTCTGAGAGCTCTTTTCTGCGAGGCATGGTTCACATCAGACAGTGCTTCTTGAAACCAGTAAACCCAAAACAGCTGTGTGTTTTTTAAGGGCAGGACAGCTGTCAGCAACACATCCAATATCATCACACTGATTGGAGTCAAGGTTGGCTCACTCCTGGCTCCAATTAGCTCTGGGAGAAGTCATTAAGCTAGGGCCTCACATACTTTTTCCTCCCTGCACTGTGAATGTTTACATGTTATGTGCAATTAAACCATGGCAACGTCTAATGTTTGTGTACTATTATGTGCAGCAGACTGTGTTCTTCTATTGTTGTGACTTAGATGACGTTCAGAGCACATTTTATGCCCAATTCATGCAAAACTCTGCGTAATCCCAAGGGGTTCACATACTTTTTCTTGCAACTGTATAGGCTAACCTGTAGGTATAAGTAAATAAGGGGGACTTTATTACCACTTTAAGAGGAGATATGATTGCAATATACAAATATCTAAATGATGATTCTAGCATAGGGAAAAGCTATTCAGCCTCAGGCCGCTTAGGAAGACATGTGGCCACTTAAAGAAGGGGTTTAACCTTAAATTGTATAGGGAATTTTTCACTCTTAGAGCAGAAAGGATGTGGAACTCCTTTCCACAATTGGTGATTGCAGCAGAAATGTTGATAATTTAAAAAAAATCTTAAATCAGCATCTCAGCAAATGCAATATACACCGTGTTCCAAATTATTATGCAAATATTTTTCTCATTTACCTAAATAATTGATGTAAATAACAGTCAGCATAATTCTCAAGTTATCAACTATGAAGAGTACAATTCAAATTTTATTGAACAAACCTCCTAATGATAACAGTATTTTTTTAAACATAAAAAACTTACAATGCACTGTTCCAAATTATTATGCACAGTAAGTTTCAAAACACTTTATAGGTTGTAAAGAACTGAAAATTGTCATTTGTTGTGTTTGCAGCATATTCACTGAAATCAAAAGCTATTTCAATCAAACTTTTTACAACATTTTAACAGGTCACGTTACATTGTAACATAGGTCCCCTTATTTGATAGCAGCTTCACAAGTCTTGCATCCATTGAACTTGTGAGTTTTTGGACAGTTTCTGCTTGAATTTGTTTGCAAGATGTCAGAAAAACCTCCCAGAGCTGCTGTTTGGATGTAAACTGCTTCCCGCCCTTTTTTCTTTTGCTTGAGAATGCTCCAAAGGTTCTCAATAGGATTGAGGTCAGGGGAGGATGGAGGCCACACCATGACTCTCTCCTTTTATCCCCATAGCAGACATTGATGCAGAGGTATTCTTTGCAGCATGAGATGGTGCATTGTCATGCATGAAGATGATTTCATTACGGAAAACATAGTTCTTCCTTCTGTAGCAGGGAAGAAAGCGGTCAGTCATAAACTCCACATACTTTGCAGAGGTCATCTTTACACCTTCGGGGGCCCTAAAGAGACCGACCAGCTGTGTTCCCATGATTCCGGCCTAAAACATGACTCCACCACTGCCTTGCTGACGTCGCAGCCTTGTTGGAACAGGGTGGCTGTCCACCAACCATCCACTACTCCATCCATCTGGACCATCCAGGGTTGCACGGCACTCATCAGTGAACAGGACTTTTGAAAATTAGTCTTCATGTATTTTTCTGCCCAATGCAGCCGTTTCTGCTTGTAAGCATTGGTTAGTGGTGGCCGAATAGGTTTATGCACAGTTGCAAGACTCTGTAGGACTCTACACCTTGATGTCCGTGGGACTGCAGAGGCACCAGCAGCTTCAAATATCTGTTTGCTGCTATGTAATGGTATTTTAGCAGCTGCTCTCTTGATCCGAGGTAGGGATCTGGCAGAAATCTTCCTCAATGTGCCTTTATCTGCACGAACCCATCTGTGCTCTGAATCAACCACAAATCTCTTAATAGTGCGATGATCACGCCTAAGTTTTCGTGAAATATCTAATGTTTTCATACCTCGTCCAAGGCATTGAACTATTTCACACTTTTTGGCAGCAGAGATCCTTTTTCTTCCCCATATTGCTTGAAAATGGTGATCTGCTTAATAATGTGGAACACCCTCCTTTAGTAGTTTTTCCTTAAATTGGGCTCACCGGCCAATCTAATTATCACAGGTGTCCGAGATTGTTTTCAGTGATCAAAAGAGCCCTGAGACACAATGCCATCCATGAGTTAAACTGAAAAACAAAATATTTAATCTTTGTGACACTTAAATAGAATTTGCATAATAATTTGGAACAGGGTGTAGAGGGATATGGGAAATTGTAGAAACATAAATTCATATGCCCACACCAATTAAACTGGATGGACTAATTTCTTTATTCAACCTTATGAACTATGTAACTATGAATGAAAGGGAGGGTGGTCCTGTACTGTACTTCAAGATATGGAATTTACAGGTAATTAAAAATTCCTCCTATATATGGTGCAGACAGGGGCGGACTGACAATTCATGGGGCCCCCAGGCAATAGGGGATCATGGGGCCCCTGTGTACTTGCCCAAACTCAAAAAAGCCTATGAAAAAGGTACCAGGGGTATCTCATGGGGCCCCCTAATGACCCCGGACCCTCGGGCAGTGCCTGAGTTTCCAAATGGTCAGTCCGCCCCTGGGTGCACATTCCCAAGCAATTATTATGAAGGCTGGACAACAATGAGGCAAACAGCACTGTGCCAACAAGGGCAAAAGATGCAACCTCAGAGAGCAGCTGCACAAACCTTGCAGCCAAAAGTTGCCTCAGCAGAAGACTGGAAATCCACCTGGCAAAACTTTGAAAAAGTATGAACAGAAAAAAGAACCCTTGTGAGGCCTCATTTTTTTAAACTCATTGAATCACTATTACAGATAGAACACAAGTTAGCAACACATCTTTTTGGTGCCACGAAGCTTACAATAGCGAGGGCGTGGAAAAATCCTGCCCTTAGTTTTGTAGCGGTTAAAAATCGCATGACCGACATTATGGTCAATGAGAAATTGACGTCTATTCTTTCTCTCACAACTGGTTCCTGCAGGTTTGGCAACCCTGGATTACTCATGTATACCCTTCACGTTTTGATCTTACCTTATAAACATTGTGATCTTTTGAACGCGTTTCTCTCTGAGACCATTCTTCTTTTTTTCTCTTCTGATGACGGTTCTTCGGGACGTTGTGTCTTTCCTGCATATACACTTCACCTACCGTAGCAACGCCCTGATGGTACATCTAGGTAACAATTAAAATGCACCACTATAGTATGGATGACCCCATTACTTTTTCATCATTCTCTCGCTTTCTTCTCTTTTCTGACTTCTAACTTTTCTTGCAGATTTCTTTTTGCTACACAATATCTCTTTGTTATAGCTTTTCATTGTTACATTGGCTTTAGGGTCAATTAAGTACAGTAATTCCGTGAGCTGTTACTTTTCTTTTTCTCTTATATGGTAGGGAATGTTACCCTGTGATTTTTTCCCAATTTTCTTAAGCTGTTACTGCCTTCTATGTTTACATTTCAAAATGTGTCAGTGAACCGTTTTTGCTCTCGGTCTCAGCCTTTTGCAACTGTAACATGTATATTGCCCTAATATTTTGCCACGACTGAATGCTGTACTTTGTATTACACTGTACATACCTTTCTAACGTTCTCGATATTTGGCTCTGTATTTTTGTATGCCATTTGTCAATAAAACCCTTTGTTAAAGAAAAAAGTATGAACAGAAGATCAGGTGGCAGCCTTACACAACAGGATTACTGAGGCTTTGTGCCGAAATACCCATGAAACACCCACCGATCTGGTAAAAAGGGCCAGCAGAAGTGCAGGAGGAAATTTCACCTTGGGAATGTAAGATCTTGCAGTCAGATTTCGTGTCCATTGTGCAATGGTGGACATTGAAGAAGGATGTCCCTTGTGAGGTCCAAAGAACAGGCTAAAGAGGAAAGATTTTTATGTGATTGGAGCAGTAGCCTTGAGGTATACTTTAATGGCTCTGAATACAGCCAGGCAATCTAGGTTGCTCAATGAGGTGGAATGCTAAGACCACTTTTGGAGGAAAAGATGGCCTTGTGTGTAAGACAACTTTATCACTGTGAAGAATTAGGAAAGGTTATTTATAGGCAGGACCCTTCTAATCTTATTGAAATTAGATGATTTCCATCTGTACTGTCACCCTTTATAATATAAAGCACTGCACAAATTCTGTATAATAACTAGAAAAGGTACAATTTCTGGGGAAATTATGTGAAGTGTTCTTGCCTCCACCAGTAGTCTACAACTGGAGTGGGCGGAGTAACTGGGTGGAGTGGCTTGTCACTCTGCTGCCTGCTCACACACCTGGGTTCCTATAGCAACTCGCTCTACAGCAAGAGCAGAGAAGAGCGGTTAAAAACAAACTGCTCCAACTTGCTCACTTCACTGGTGGTTACCATCTTCAAATGGTTGCAGTTTAAAAAATATAAAATCCTACACCGAAGAGCTTTATATTGTGAGAATCACAAGACCCAGACCTACATTTTGATGCATAGTATGTCTCTGAAATATTAAATATGAAGGCACAGTCGCAGTTTAGAAATTGCCCTTCAAATTTGAGGTGGCTAGAGTGGAGTTTCAATGAATGTCAATGGGCGGCGTGAGTTGCAAACAAATGGTCATATTGTGAAAACTATCAGGACTATGGCTTAGCCGTGGACATTTTTAGTGGCAGCAGGTATAGCTGAACTTTTTGATATAAGATTTGTGTAGTTGGGCTTGAAAATGAGGGAGTGATGGCAGTTTAGAAATCATGTCCTGATTTTTCATTTCACACTCTAGCTTTTGTCAGCTCCCACTCTAGTTTTGAACATTCCGCCATTCATTCCTATGGGACCAATTTCACCACAAAAACGCCGAAATTTCGTGAACCATTCGGCGAAACGTTCCACAAAGTAATAGCACACCAAGCGGGAACAATACGCACGTTTCGTTATATTACTGTCTATGTAGTGTAAAAACTGTGGGAGGAGTTAGGGTGGTAAATTTGGCTATAATAATAAGAATATATATGTGAGATAACAGTAAGTGGTCTTGCCATGCAAGAACACTTAATAATAATACAGGTAAGGCTCCCCAGTATAGAACAAATCTTACAAATGTGACAGTGCCCAAAAAGGCCTGAGAGATTCGATAGGGGAATATACCTGATCGGTTCAAGGGGAGGTTTCTGCAGGGCACAGAGAAATTGAGATTTCAAGAAGCACAGGGTGCTGCAAGGAAGCCTAATATGATACGCCTTGAAAAAAGGTTTTTATAAGGGAGAGCAGAGGCCTTTTTGAAAGAATATGGATATGGCTAAGTCTTGGTCTAAAGTACTCTTAAATGTCAAGTGCTGATCAGAAACCAAATGTACAAAAGGTCAGAATGCAAGGTACAGAGTAATCTCTATGACTGAAGTGCCTGTGTCCACACCAGGCAAAAAAAGATTTCCAGGTGCAAAAATATATCCTGGAAGAGACTTTTCTTGCTTTTAGCAATGTCGCAATCCCCCCCTCCCCCCCTTATCCTATAACACCTGGGTTTCAACAGCCACAGAATTAAAGCCAGACACTGAGATCTGGTCTGTTGGAAAAGGGCAGGGGTCATCTGCTAGACGTCTGTGAACCAGATTTTTCTGGGTGCAATTAGAACCACACTTTTCCTTTACTGCTCTGCACACTGGAGAAAAGGCATATATTAACACTTAACTGAGACCAGGATATGATCAAGGTATCAGATGATACAGCTAGAAGATCCCTAGTTCTGGCACTAAACAGAAGCGGTTTGTTGCTTAATCTGGAGGCTAGCATGTTCACATCGTGAATCACCTATTTTAGGCATATCATACTGAAGACCTCTGGATGAAGGGCCTATTTGTCTTGATTCAGGCAATGGCAGCTGAGATTATCTGCTTTCCAGTTGTCCATTCCTGGAATGTGGGCTGCAGAAATCACTGGACATTGTGTTTCCGTCCAAGAGTTGATATGGTTCGCTTCCTTCAAAGCAGCCAGACTCCTGGTGCCCCCTTGATGATTGAATTAGGCAACCACTGTGGCATTGTCTGACTGCCCCCTGATTGGGTGCCCTTTAGAAGAGGGGTCCAGTGCTGCAGGGATTATCTGAGCACCAAAATGGAGATAGGAAGTTTGGCTTCTCTCACAGTCCATGTTCCTTGGGTTAAGGATTGGAATACTCCTCCCCAGCCTGGAAGACCTGCATCCATTGTGATAACCTTCCTGTTAATAGAGAAGGAAGGATTTCCCCACTGTTATGGGTGGTGGTGATCCACCAGGTTTCTTGCTTGGCTGGACAAGTGCACTGGCCAGTTGAGAGAAGGAGCCTACTTTTTCCAGGCTGACAAGATATTTTGTTGGAGAGTTTTTGAATGGAATTGAGCAAATGGTACTGCTTTAAAAAAGAAGCTGCCATTAGGTCTAGAACTGGATAATTTCAATGTGGGATTCTTCTTAGATGTCAAATTTCTGAGCATGTGCTCTTAGAGAAAGAGCTTTCTTTCCTTTGCTTGGTTTCTGTCCAGGTATTCCAGGCAAAGGGAAGATTTAAGAGCAGATTTGTTGAAAATGATTGCCCAGCCAATGACCTGGAGTGTCTTAATTATCTTGTGGACATTTTCTTTTAGTTGCAAGGGACATGAAGTCCTTTAGAAGAAGGTCATCTTCTTTGAATTGGATGATCAAAGTCTGAGAAGGGCAAACAGAGATTCTAAGACCCCTGTGAACACTTTGGGAGCAGAGGATCAACCAAAAGGCAGCACAACAAACTGGAAATTGTTAACTGCCAATGCAAAGCGCAGAAATTGGGTAAATGGAACCATGTAGCTAAGCAACGTGAATGGCCACAGATGCCATGTATTTCCCTTCTGTCAAATAGGCAATTACTGACCTTGCAGATTCCATGGAAAATGTCAGAATATGAAGGAGTTTGTTGGGGGATTTTACAATCCAGAATAGCACAAATGCTCCAATGAATAGGTTTAAGTAGAAACCGCTAACCTGAATTATGGTGGTAGTGGCATATCACCTCCAGGGGACTAGTGGTTCAGGGCATTTTACAAATATACATCGGCCAGATTTTTGGTTTATTTGAAAGAAGGCATTGAGATGGTACAATTTTGAAACAATCAACTGAACCCACAGGTCTGAAATGTCTCTGACCCAGAAAGAGGCAAACGGTAACAAACTACTCCCAAGGGGCATGGTGAGACAGAGAAGTATCAGCTTGCACAATGCCAAGGCTTTTTGTGGACAGAGCCAATTAAATTTTTAGCATTCACAAGCATGTTGCTAACATTGCTTGGGTTCTAATTATCCTCTGTACCACCTCAATATCAAGCATGTTGTGTGAAGCTTCCAATTCAATATAGTGACAAATTGGAGAAGGTAAAAGCTTCCACAGCCTCCTCTGTTTCCTAGCATATCAAGACATATCATTCTGAGATTGAGTGTTGTTGTACAGGCCTTTGACACAGCTAATGTTCATCTGCTATTTTGCAATGGCTACCCTTCACTTGGTCTTTGCCACAGCTACAAGTGAGGGTATTAGACTGTGGGGTACCCCTGAAATAAGGTGAAGAGCATAGGGTGCACGCAAGGAATAACCCAGGTTTAAACCATCATATAAA